TTTTTATTTTATGTGTACGAGTGTATTGCCTGCATGTATGTGAGCACACCTGTGTCATGCAGAGGTCAGAAAGGGTTTTGGATTCCCTGGGACTGGAGTTAAGGACGGTTCATAGCCGCCATGTGGGTGCTGGGAATCGAACCCAGGTCCTCTGCAAGAGCAGTCAGTGCTCTTAACTGCTGAGCCATCTCTCCAGCCCTCCAAAAAGAATTTAAAATAGTATTTAAGAATTTAAAAGATTAGCGGGACATAGTGGCACACAACTTTGATCCCAGCACTCGGGAGGCAGAGACAGGGAGATCTCTGCGAGATGGAGGCCAGCCTGGTCTACATAGCAAGTTCCAGACCAACTGGAGCTACAGGGAGACCCTATCTCAAAAACTCAATAACAACAACAACAAAGAGTTTAAGAAACAATAGATGACATTCCACTGGTGCCACTGGGAACTCAGCCATGAACTCTGAAGGCTGCATAGAAGTGGAAGGACACTCTCTGCTGACCAGGAGCTGCACGACTGTCTGAGGAGCTTCCCAAATGCTTCTACTACTTAAGCTGCTTCTAGAAGGGGCATTTCATTTCTACTAGGAGTGAGAGCACCCTTCATAACTTGCATAAAGCAGCACCAAATGATGAACGACTAGGCAAAGAGATTTGCTGCAAGTGGGGAAACTGGTGAGCAGAGGCTTGGTCACTGAGCCGCCTACTTACCCCCAGCGCCGAAGTTGACAACATACTGTGAGAACAGGGCATCCAGCTCGTCGTACTGCACCAGAGCGTCTTCGAACTGCTGCAGCATCTCAAAGACAAAGGCAAGTTCCTCCTGTCACCAAAGAACAGCAGTCAGCTCCCAAAGCCACATGCTGTAGTGAGGGGCACTTAAGAGAGCGGGCCGTGTGTGAAAGATGCTCAGCCGCTGAAGCACGGTCTCCACATGACCACGCCAGCATTCACAAATGCAGAAGGATGAGACCAAAAAGAGGCTGGAAAAGGCCAAGGCCACGTCTGACCTTCCGGCAGCACTGGATAAGCTGGTTGGTCCCCGACGTGCCCAATCCCAGTGTTACTTCTCTGGCCTCACTCAGCCCCCAGTGCAGCCCCTCATGCTCCCTCACACACACCAGGTCCATAGCTACCTCTACTTTCGGCCTGGAGGGTGCACTCTTCCAAATCTCCACATGACTTGTTCTTTAGACCCTGAGCTGTTGCCATTCCCTGCTTGGGGAGGCTTCTGTCCACAGCCCCAGCACTGACCACCTGGCTCCTGACACCTTCATTCTCCACTCTGACTAGTTTACAGTAAGTGTTCAGTGCATGTCAATGGCTAGGGCCCCCCCCCTTTTTTTTCCTTTCTTTCCTGATTTCTAGCAATGTTTCTTAAAGCAAAAGCCAGGAGAGCAATCACATACATGTAAGTCCACACTGACATACTCAGTTTATGCTGGATAGCTTTAGTGTCAACTTGACACACCTGGGTTGAGGGAGCCTCAATCAGGGAATTGCCTCTATTGTACTGGCCTGTGGCCATGTCTGAAGGGCATCTTCTTGATGAGTGATGTGGGAGGGCCCAGCCCACTGTGGGTGGTGCCATCCCTGGGCAGGTGGGCCTGTATTGTATAAGAAAGCAGGCTGAGCAGAGGCCAGGAGAGCAAGCCTATAAGCAGGGTTCCTCCATGACCTGTGCTCCAGCTCCTGCCTCCAGGTTCCTGCCCTGAGTACCTACCTTGGGCTCCCTGATGAACTGCATGCGACCTGGGAGATGTAAGACAAATAAACCCTTTCCTCCCCAAGTTGGTATTGGTCAGAGTGTTTTGTCACAGCAATGAAGAACAAAGTAAGACACAGTTCCACCTTAGGTGGCTGTGGTTACTACTCCAAGAGCCTGGAGCCCCAAGTGGCATTCCCTGGAAGGGGATCAAGTGCACAGATGGAATCCACAGCCCACTTCAGATCCAGACTCCAGGCACACCCACTCTGCTGGCTACAGCTAGGACACCAGGAGTCTGGGTCTTCAGCTAGATAACAAAGTGCCCTGTGCAGGAGCTTTCTGTGTGAGGATTTAACTGTTGCCTGTGAACAGAGTCACTAGCCCTTGAGCTCCGCTTATCTGGAACCCAGAGAGAAGCTGCAGGAAGCAGCTGGCCTGTCCGTTAGCCGGGAACTCCTTCCAGCTCTGCATCCTGCTGCCTCTGAACACACAGCTGGGCAGTGTTTTACACAGGTACTTCTGGGTCCCACTGACCTCTCCTCTCCCTCCCCGTGTTCCTTCACGTAGTACTTTGAGCAATGGGAACTACAATAAATGTTCTCAGCTGTGATGCTTGTTTCCCTCTCAAGACAGGGTCTCGCTGATTCCAAACTCATGACCCTCGTACCTCAGCCTCTCCAGTGCTAGGACTGCAGGTGCACACCCCCACGCCTGCCTGACCATTTTTAAGTGCACAGCAGTGTCAAGTATATCCACACTACTGCACAACCACTATCCATAATCTTTTCATCCTCTCTAACTGCAACTCTGTTGCTACTACACAATCTACCTGCCCCCTCCATGGTCCTGGTATCCTCTCTCCGTGGCCTGTTTACAAACAGGGCTGCTCCAGGAAGCAACAGCATCCTGTAGGCTGCACGTGTCCGTGCAGGCTTTCACTGAGCAGTGTCCTCAAGCTGCGCACTGCATGTGTCAGGGGCTCCTTCCTTACTCACTTTTAACTTTGTACTAATTTTAGACTCATAGAATCATTTGCCAAGAAAACAGTAGTTTGTATGTAGCCCCTACTCAGCCTCCTCCCACATTAATACTTCATGCAACTGAGGTACCTTCTCAAATTCCGAAATCACTGTTAGTACAATACTGCTAATCAGGCAGCCTTTATGTGAATTTCATGTATGTATGCATCCACCCCCTCATCCATCCATCTACTCATCCATTGTGCTGGATGCTTTAGTGTCAACTTGACACACCTGGGTTGAGGGAGCCTCAATTGGGAATTTCCTCTATTGGACTGGCCTGTGGCCATGTCTGTGGGACATCTTCTTGATGAGTGGTGTGGGAGGTGGGTCTGCCCCCCTGGGCAGGTGGGTCTGTGTTGCATAAGAAAGCAGGCTGGGCAGGGGCCAGGGGAGCAAGCCAGTAAGCAGCGTTCCTCCATGGCCTGTGCTCCAGGTCCTGTTTCCAGGTTCCTGCCCTGAGTTCCTACCTTGGGCTCCCTGATGAACTGCGACCTGGGAGATGTAAGCTGAATAACCCCTTTCCTCCCCAAGTTGGTAGTGGTCAGAGCGTTTTGTCACAGCAATGAAGAGCAAACCAGGACAGCCATCCACCCACCCTCCCATCCATGCACCCATCTAGTTGTTCACTCATCCACCTTCCATCCATCTATGAGTTCACAATGAAGTTGATGCTTTATCATTCAGAAGATGGTGAACAAACTCAAGGAAGCCTGAGCGCGCCTGTCACTGCAGCCTGACCACTCTGAATCGCATGAAACTGCCACACCTCCTCCGGGCACTTGAGAGTTTTCTTCTTCAAAAAGAAGTTTGCTGGGCGTGGTGGCGCATGCCTTTGATCCCAGCACCCTGGAGACAGAGGCAGGTGGATCTCTGTGAGTTCCAGGCCAGCTGGGGCTACAGGGAGACCCTTTCTCAAAAAAAAAAAAAAAAAAAAAAAAAGAATTGTATTGTAAACTACAATTTTTTTTTTTTTTTTGGTCTTTTTGAGACAGGGTCTCCCTGTAGCCCCAGCTGTCCTGGAACTCACTATGTAGTCTAGGCTGGCCTTGAACTCACAGAGATCCGCCTGCCTCTGCCTCCGAGCGCTGGGATTAAAGACGTGCACCACCATGCCCAGCTCTGTAAACTACAATTTTAAAAGCCTAAACCATTTGGGGTATTCCAGTAAAGAACCAGCTTCTCATGATCTTACTGGGAGTCATGAGGGAGTTCCCAGAAACTACCCTTCAACCCCCAAGTCTGCTGATGGCAAAGCAGCCCATCCACAGCAGAGTCATCCCCCAAGGCTGGGTACCTCTGCTTAATGCCCAGCGGACCTCCAAAAGTCCCTGAGTCCCAACAAAACCAAGACGGACTAGAGGACCAAGCCCTTCTCCAGGCGGCAGTGCCTAGCTGTGGGGCAGGAGGACACCTGCAGAGCCCTGGCTGTCTTCTGCTTATTGGCAAGAGAAAGGAACATCCACTCTGGCTGCCACACAGTTCACATACATGAGGTGAGGTGGGTGGGAGCTACCCTGAGAGCTGCCTTGTCTGGAAAGGGAGCTGCCTTGTCTGGAAAGGGAGGCGGCTGTACCTGAACCATGAAGTATTCACAGAAGCTCCAGCCTGGCTCCGTCCTCTTCTCCCTCAAGGTCCGCATGTCATCCTCAAACTTGCCAAGGTTTTTGGTGAAAGACATGAGCAGCAGTGTCCTGAGTTTGGTCAGGAAGGCATTCCAGGATTCCTGAGTTCGAGAAGAGTCCTTCAAGGGGTCAGAGAGCACAACACACCTGCAAAGACACGGAGGGCCGTCCGGGAAGACCTCAGGTACCACAGCCTGATCAGCTGAGCCTACTTCCCATGGTCCCCCACTGTCCCTCACCCTTTCCTTCTCCAATTAGTGAAAACCATTAGGTAGGGGCCAAAGCGTTCACTACCCCTGGGCGGAGAGCACTACAGATGCTCCGGGGAAAGTCTGCTGCAGAACAGACAGCAAGTCAGAGTGGTCTGAGGAGGAGCCGCCTCCAGAGCTTGTGAAAACAGTGGCCACACCACCCTCAGTTCCTGACCCTCACTCTCTTGTGCCTCACAAACCTGCTGGTTCCTTATGTTGACAGAAACTGAGATCCTTCAACTGGGCAGAGCAAGACCACAGCCACCCTCAGTACCCGGCTTCAACCCCTCACTCCAGCCTAGGTCTCTGAGCATGCTGTGCCCTTCCCTGTCCTCCAGCATTCTCCTGCTCACCTAACACCCCCTCCACGCTGAACCACCCCCATCTGTCACTGCAGTATACAGAGGCCCCTGTACGGAGTCCTGGCCTTCCTCAGATCTGCCTCTACCACCACGTTATGACTCTGAAGGCAGCATTGATCAACGGGACAAATACTGGTCACAGAGAGGTCTGATGCCATTTACTACAAAGAGAGTATGCCTGTGGTACAGAGGCACTGGAGTTTATAGCATTACAAGAACGCTCCAGTGGTCTAGGAAAGTTACTGCACTCAGCCAACAAGCAGAAACAGCACCTGGCTTTAGCCCTGCTGATAGTAATTACAAAGATAAATAAATCTGAACTCAGAAATGATTTTAAAGTCTTGATGCAATGGCTATGAACAGCTCTCTTTAATGAGTATTTTACCCAAGCTGCTAACAAATAGCACAATGAACTGACTCTGTGCCCCAGCACATCCCCTTTGGAGGGACAGGAGCCTCCATGCAACCACCAGAGGTGAAACCACCATTTGCACATCCACAAGTTAGAACCCAGAAGAAACTGAAAAGCCACCTACCCCATCACCCACCCACTAGATACTGATCCCTCCCAGGAGAGCAGAGGCCAGGGCCAGCCTCCTGGGGTCAACATGAGCTGCTACTCAGCTAGTTCAGTGCTTTATCCTTAGACACTCTCAGGAACAATTATCAACACGGTTTCTGAGCAGCAGTATGTCCCCATTCTCCACAGTGCAGGGATGGAAACCTGCACACACCACCACAAGTCAGGGCTTCCTTTCAGCCCCTCACTCTGTTATACCATCAGTCCCTTCATCCTTGTTAGGCCTTTCAACTTCTGTGGTCCTGGCCACCATTTTTAGTTAGTCAGAAGGGATGGGGGTGATCTGAAGGGCAGCAGTCCCCCCCAGAGCACAGATCACCAGAGTAGCTGCTCACAGGGGCACATATGGGGAGGTGTGCCAAGGAGGTCCTCAGTGGGCACCATCACAATCACCGCATCAACCTCTGACTCAGCAGCATTTTGTCAAAGCTTGAAGAATGCACAGAACTGGTGACCAAGCAATTTTCCTTTAAGGAAATAATCAAGGACATGCACATTAACTAGAAAGCTGTGCAGTGTTGTTTATGATAACAGTAAGCCAACAGGAGCCTGACAGGCCTTCATGTTTGCATAAGAAACATCACCAGCAAAAATGAGACAGGGATACTTTGTTCATGGAGAAAACAACAATGTACGAAGTAAAAACAACAGGTATCAGCACTGTCTGTAGAAGACAACACTTTAACGTGTACACACACACACACACACACACACACACACGTGAGAAAAATGCTCTGCTCTAGGCTGCTTCCCTCTCCTCTCTGGGTTCTTCCTTGTTCTGCATCCTGCACTTCCCCAGGACTGCCGCTAGGGCGGCCCCCAGAGCAGGCTGGCTGCACTCCTACGGGCAGTTGCAGTACAGGAGTCCTGATGGTGGTGACAGAATGACAACCTGTCACACCAGAGTCCAGGCTCCAGTGCAAGTCTGTGAGACACAGACACCAGTGTGCAGGAGTCAGGTAGGTTCAGCAGTGCTGAGGACAGCAGGCACAGAAGGCCGTGAGCCCCTGTGATAAAGGAACAAAGTCATGAAGTCCACATTTTGCAACTTGTAGAACTTTTAACAAGTGGATGGTCCACAGAGAAATGTATGCCCCACAGTTTAAGGGCATTTGGGGACCCCTGTACCATTCAAGACTGAAGACTTCCTTGTGAGGTTCAAGGGGGTCAGTGTGTGGTCTTCCAGAGGCCCCAGGCCCAGGACCTTCTCCCAGGCTGTATGCATGGAGATCATGGCTAATGGTTCCCCAGTTGCCAGATAAGGCATTCCAGAGGACAGGGAGAGCACCCTCAGTCACTCTCAGACCTGCTGAGGCACTAGTTATTACTGCTATCCAGCAAAGAGGATAAATGAAAGGTGTACTTACCTGTCACTCTGTTTATTACAAAAGTCATTTCTTATTTTGTCCACAATAGAAGTTCGGGGAAGGATGTTGGTTTTGTTTTTTTTCTTGGCATCATTTTCAACCACCACTACTAACCAGTCCACAGAACTATGAGCTTTGAGAACATTCTGCCACTTGGTGAGGTCATCTTTTACTGTGGCTTTGTATACTTCAGTATCCTAAGAATAAAAAAATGGGTGTGAAGGTGAGCTCCTCAATGCCCTTTGGTATCTAGGCATAAGACGTTAATGAGCAGAGAGGCACCGGACATCACATGTTACCACACTGGGCGGCCAAGGGGTTAGCTGAGTGTGAAAACACCCAGACGCCAGAGCTGGGTGCCATGCGCAGTTTTACGCCTACCAGGATCCTAGCACATTCTCTCCAAGCCAGGCACAGCACCAAGAACTGAAGAGCCGCTGAGGGCACCACAGCAACACTGTCCACAAGGCAAGGAAGAGCTTTGGTCAGAACTCTGTGCCCAAGCACCACAAGACTGACACAGACACTGTCAGCAGGGAGCCTGAAGCTTGCCTGCAGGAACTTCACACAGGCCGCCTGACGGCTGCCCTGCGGCCCTCAGCCCTCAGGGCCTTTGGGCTCTGACCTAACCTTAATGTCCCTTTAGTTCCCTCAGGAGAACCAGAAAAGACCACCTGCAGCTCCCTCAAGCTACCATAGCTCAAAGGAGCCAGGATACAGTGACAGGACTCAAACTCAATTCCATTTCTCTCTCCTAGGACTAGCCCAAGTCCCCAGAGAAAGCCCCCCGACAAAGCCAGTGTCAGCTCAAGTCTCAGCCAGCAAGCCTCATTCTCCCTTCACTGTTCTTTGTCGCTAACCACCCTATGTACCATGAACTTCTGCAACAGACAAATTCCATTTACACTTAGAAAATCTGATATTAAAATCTTAGAATTCATGGGGCTGGAGAGATGGCTCAGCAGTTAAGAGCACTGGCTGGTTTTGCAGAAGACCCAGGTTCAGATCCCAGCACCCACATGGCAGCTACCGGCTGTCCGTAACTCCAGTCCAGGAAATCCAATGCCTTCTTCTGTCCTCCACAGGCACTGCACAACATGGGTGTACTCACGTACAATGCAGGCGTAATACATACACATTAAAAAAAAAACTTGTAATTCTGTTTTCGGGCCCGCAAGATGGCTCAGTGGGTAAAGGTATTTGCCACAATGCCAAACAACCTGAGTTTGATCCCTAGGACCCACATTATCCATAGGATAGAAGGAGAGAATCAACTCCTGCAAGTTGTCCGTGACCTCTACACACTCATAGTAGTATGCACATGCATGCACACATACATACATACTACATACATAAAATAAATAAATAAATAAATAAATGTTTAAAAAAATTCTTTTCAGTCCCTCTTGATCTGAGCCACTGGGGAGCTCCAAAGGTGATACTTACAACTTTTGTTCTGCTTCCAAAACCACGTCCTGGGTCACATAAGAAATGACTCCAACTCAGAAAGATCTACTCAGACACTGAGAGAAAAACCACCGTCTGAAACCAGCTCTCTGGGTGCACGTGCAGCAGAACCTCACTCACATGCTGCGCATTTCCCTAGGACAGCATTATGGGCTGTCACGATGTGAGGGTACTTGGGGTGCTGGGGAATACCCAAGGGCCTCATGGCATCTGGCAGCAAAGGCACAAGCCCGGGTGCGCCGACAGCCTAGCCCTCAAACATACCAGCTATGCACAGTGCCCAGTTCACAGAGGTGGAAGAGAGCGGCCCATGGTGCTGGCCCACTGCAGTGGAACGGTGCCTTCCCCAAGAACCTGTCCCAGGAGAAGAGTCCCAGCTGGAGGGGCTCCATGCCCCAAGGGGACACCAGGGTGACCCTGTGCTGCCACTTTGCAGACTCTCCACAGGAGGCCTCCCAGAATAGAAAAGTCATGCCAAACAGTCCTAGTAAAAACAAGCACACAGCCCTCACTCTCCATCACTCATCACAGGGAACAGGATATTGCCAAAGTATCTGGGGTCCCTAAGGGAACCATGCTGAGCCAGGGAGGTAAACTGTCCCTGAACACCAGAAAACCTGTGGCCAGGGAAGGGTAATGTGTGAGGTCAGCAAAGAATGGCTGCAGCCCAGGGTAAGGCATGAAGACATACGTGGGCTTGAGAGGAGCCTACAAGGGAGGGAGGGAGGTTCTATGGGTACCAGAACTCAGCTGTGTTTGGGTGGGAGAGGGAGGTGGAGGGAGGGCTCTGACCAGAAGTTAATCCAGGAAAGGAGGTGGCATCTCTGCCAAGCAAGGTAAGGGGATGTCTGCGTGGGGAAGACATGGTCTAGTCCAGAGCAGCCAAATACAGGGCTAGGGCATCACCTAGGAGCAGGTTAGCAGAGACAGGAGAAAGGTCACCGAAAGGTCACCCCAAGGACTGTTCAGCAAGCAAGTCCATAGCAGGGAAGGCGTATGATACAGTTTCTCATCCCAGAGAGGGGACTCAGCAAACTGGCCTGCAGAAGTGGTAGGAGCCAGACGGTGTGCGTGTGCACCAGTGTGAAGTACATGCTCTCCATCAGTGCACACTCTCAACACAGAGCAGTCTTCACTCCTCTTCTTGGCTTCCAAACATTTTCCACAGCAAGAACCCACGGTTCCTCGGAAAATGGCTAAGGCCATGGCCAAGACAAATAGAATACAAGACGGACCCAGGAGAGCGCATGTCTGAGCATGCTCAAAGAATAATAACATTTCAAAAGGTTATAGAGACCACGTTGGGGACCATGAGACTCAAAGCGGGTAAGGACAGGAACAAATCACCCCCACTACAGTCTAGGAAACTGAACACACACAGCATCTATCAATAGATAGTTGGATGGACAACTTCCAGCCACAGTGAGCTCTATACCTTCCAACATAACCAACACAAAAACAAAGATACAAAAACCACAGTTGAGCAGCTCTCAGCACCTCAGACCCAGGCAACAAAGGACAGTGACCCCTGAGAAATGGAAACAGGCAGGGCCTCGCAATGCCTGAGCTGGGGCTATGGATGTCCTGGGCCTCTGCACACAGAGTCTGAGGTAGCTAGTTGATTCCAACCAGAGAATCACTGAGTTCAGCCAAAGCCATCAACTAGGACCAGAAGCATCAGCACTTGGTGCATGCGCGCGCGCGACCAGAAGCATCAGCACTTGGTGCATGCGTGCGCACACACACACACACACACACACACACACACACACACACACACACACACGGCTGGGAGATCAGGGCCTATTGTCATCCATGAAAACCCAGAGGGCTCAGGACAGTCTCCACAGGAGAAAGGAAGCATTAGTACTGCACCCATCCCTGCTCTAACCCCTCTACCCAAAAGGACCAAACATGATTGCTTCAGCGGAACAAAGGAATGCACCATCACCTAACATAGAGCAAGAGAAAGCTCACGATGTCTGCTGTTCAGTAAAGAATGGCCGGCAGGCAAGTGTAGGAGGAAGTGCGGCCTGAACAACCAGCACGCGCTGCAAATGCGCCAAAAACATCCAGCTGAGGCAAACCTGTGTTCTGCCAAAAGACATAGAGACAGCTGACGCAAGATGGCTCGACGGAGAGGGCCAATGAGGATCAGACACGATCCGAGAAAGCCTACTGGGGCCAATGGGACACCGGGAGGGGGGCTATAAGGGAGCCCCATATCTGCAATAAACGAGTCTGCAGCTGCTCACACTGCCTGCTTCTCACCTGACTCCCGGTGTCTGTGTCATGACTCTGCACCGGATCTACCCCCCGCCCGGAGGGCCCCAGGACACCCACAACAGGCAAGTAAGTCAGAACCTACAATCTGTAGTAAGTTGGAAGGTCAACCAACAGAATGAAGAGTTCAAAATGACGGAGGATAAAGCCAGCAGATAAAACCACTAAAACACATCTCGTGCTCAAGACAGTGAAGGACTGAAGTCACACTGGTGGGAAGCAAAAACTCACGGAGAGCTTGAGGAGGTAAAGACTACAATGAATTCTAGAACAAAAACCACACTAGGTACAAGGAGATTGACCCTATGATTCACAAGAAAGACAAGTGAACATTAAAGACAGTCAAGCGGGGCTAACCACATGAACAGGGGAAAGCCTGAAGTCTGCCAAGTGCAGCGCCCAGCTTCTCAGGGCCCAGCATGACCAGTCTCCATCTTGATGTCCAAAAGAGGGAGGAACATTTTATAATATTTGAAGAAGTGACAAAAATTTTTTCCAAATTTTGGGGGGGGGGGGGAAGACATTCAGTGGTTAAGAGCACTGGCTGCTTTTGCAGAGGACCTGGGTTTAGTTCCCAGTACCCACATGTTAGCTAACAAGTGTCTGTAACTCCAGGTCCAGGGGATTCAACGCCCTCTTCTGGCTTCCATCAGCATTTTATGCATGTGATACGCTTACATACAAACAGACAAAACATTGATACATATAAGATAAAAATAAAATAAAAACCATTTCATGGGGCTACAGAGATGGATCAGTGGTTAAGAGCACAGGCTGCTCTTATAAAGGACCCTAGCTCAGTTCCTAGCACCCACATGGTGGCTAACAACCATCTGTAACTTCAGTTACAGGGATCTAATGCCCTTTTCTGGCCTCCATGGGCACTGCATGCCTAGGTGTACTTACATACATGTAGAAAAAACGCTCACACATAAAATAAAAATAAGCAAATACATACTTTAAAAAAAAACTTTTAAAAGCAGAAGAAATCTATCCCAAGGTAGAATGTAATAAAACAAGTTAAACATAGTGATCAAGAAAAAACATCTAGGGGCTGGAGAGATGGCTCAGCAGTTAAGAACACTTGCTGTTCTTCCAGAGGACCCAGGTTCAATCCCCAGGACCCACATGGCAGCTAACAACCACCTGTAACTTCAGTTCCAGGGAACCCAATGCCCTCTTCTGTTCTTCGCAGACATTGCACACACGTGGTGCACTTATATTCATACAGGAAAAACACTCCTACACATAAAATAAAAATAACAAATTAAAAAAAAACAAACAGCCAGGCATGGTGGCGCACGCCTTTAATCCCAGCACTCGGGAGGCAGAGGCAGGCGGATCTCTGTGAGTTCAAGGCCAGCCTGGTCCACATAGTGAGTTCCAGGACAGCTGGGGCTACGGGGAGACCCTGTCTCAAAAAAACCAAAAAAAATAAATAAATAAA